ATAATTCTCACTCCTATTCCCCGTACGACTAAACTCCCTCTCCCGAACCTGATAATCGGCATCAGGCACCGTATTCGCATCGCACACGGCCAGCGGGTCTCGACGCACGCGTTTGAGGGGCCGCCAGCAGTTGAGGAAGGCGTAGCGCGTGGATGTTGTGAAGAGATTGTTGATGTGGGGTGGGAGCGAGAGTTCAGTTAGTGTACCGCTGAGGGCGGACGCGGAGCCCGCGTAGTCGACGTGCGGGTGGCCGGAGGGGATGTCTTGCCATCGGCCGAGGGCGTCTTGGATGCCCTTTGCGGAGGGGGAGGTGTGGGCGCGGATTACGTGGTTGAAGATGTGGACGGTTGAGGCGTTGGTTCTGGGGGTGTTGTTAGATATTTTTGCTTTTTAAGACGGGGTCTTGAATGGAGGATATTGGTGGGGCTGTACAGTTTCTTGACTACTTCTTCCAACTCGGGGTAGTATTCTCGTTTTACATCTTCTTCGCTGCTGTGCCGGTCTACTCTTTGCTTCTGTGGTAGAGTGACGAATGTGAAGCCGTTGGCGTTTAGATCGAATGTCTTGCTCGCTTTTCGTACGTCGCGGATGAGCATGGGGCGGGTGTATTCATCTTTGTCGTCGAGGTATTTGACTTTCCATTCTGATTTGGGGATGGGGATGCCGGTGGCAGGGAAGTAGTTTATGTTGGCGATGACATCGGTGTTGTGTGGATCTTGTTGCATGGTAACTTTATTTACACAGATGTTTGACCCTCTTGATTGTCCCAAAAGTGAGATGCGAGTTAGTTGCAGTAAATCCAGATCTACCATAGCATAGGGCTCATTGCGATGTGAACGCGGATCCGCTGGCTAGATGAAGTGGGGTAAGCACATGCAACCAGCGCACGCATGCACCAGCCTTCATCACCACTCGACATCTAAGTGGTGTAGTAATCATTTCTCATTTCTCATAACCTGTGACCACCGTGAATTTTGTCTAAACCCGTTTTAGGCGTCGCTTGGCAACCCTCTACTCTAGAGAATCGTCTTCAAGATGTCGATCTGCTCCATGACGGCGCTCTTGCTTGTGCCACCAGTGGCGTTCTTCAGCTCTACCGCGCGCTCGTAGTCTAAGCACTCAACTACGTCGTCGCCTAACCTGGAGTCAATACCCTTCAGTTGCTCCAAGCTCAGCTTGTCCATGGGAACGTTCTGGTCCTCTGCCAAGGCAACTACGCGGCCAGAGATGTGGTGACCCTCACGGAAAGGTACGCCTTTTCGGACGAGGTAGTCTGCGAACTCTGTGGCCAGCATCTCCGGGGCAAGTGCAGCGTGCATCTTGTCGGCATTGATCTTCAGGGTCGACAGAACACCGGTGGCGATCTGGATGGAGTCGCTGACCGTCTTAATGTGGTCGATGAGAGGCTCAACAGACTCCTGCAAATCCTTGTTGTAGGTTGTAGGAAGACCCTTGATGGTGACATACAAGCCCGCCATGTGCCCAAACGCACGACCGCTCTTTCCTCGGATGAGTTCCAGCGAGTCTGCGTTCTTCTTCTGGGGCATCAGGGAGCTTCCAGTAGAGTAGGCATCAGCCAAGCGCACGAAGCCAAACTCCAGACTCGAGTAGATGATCAGATCCTCCGCCCAGCGCGACATCTTGAGCATGAAGCTGGACCCCCATTGTAGTGTCTCGAAGACGAAGTCACGGTCTCCGACAGCGTTGAGGGAGTTTGTGAGCAGACCCTCAAACCCAAGTTCCTTGGCCATGGCGTCGCGGTCGATGTTGAAGGGGTTGCCTGCCAATGCGCCGCAGCCGAGTGGGGAACGGTTGACGCGCTTGATGACTTCGCGAAGGCGCTCGAGCTCGGAGGCGAAAGCGGTGGCATGCGATAGGATCCAGTGCGACCACCGGACGGGCTGTGCCTTCTGGAGATGTGTGTAGCCCGGCATGAGCACGTCGATCTCAGCCTCGGCTCGCTGTACCGATGTCTTGATCAGGAGCTTCAGGTAGCCCTCTAGTGTCCTGAGCTGCTCCCTCAGCCATAACCGCATGTCAGTCGCGACTTGCTCGTTCCTGCTTCGCCCTGTGTGGAGCTTGCCTCCGATTTCCTTGCCGATAATCTCGCTTAGCCGTCGCTCGTTGGCGGTGTGGATGTCTTCATCGTTTGCCTTGACCTCGAAGGAATTCGTCGCCCACTCCTCCTTGATCTGGGCCATGCCCTTCTCGATGGCAGCGAACTCGTCGGTGGTGAGAATGCCATTGTTCTTGTTTGCGCGGGCGAATGCGATGGAACCCGCGATATCTTCGGCGTAGAAGAGACGGTCGTAGGGGAGAGAAGCATTGTATTGCTCCATGACTGGGTCGAGGCCCTCTGCAACGCGTCTTAGCACCAGTCATCTCAAGTGTCGATGGACTCAATAGGCCAATGGCTGCACAAACCTGTGAAACGACCTCCCCAGAGCATGTTCTCTGCTACTTTCTTTTCGGATGCCATCTTGAGAGCTATGAGAGAATAAGGTGTGGAATTGAGTTGTGACTGTTTGCGCGTTCGAGAAAAAGATATGACGCTCCGCATCGGCGGCAGGGGTGCGATAGCGCTAAATGTCGCGGGGAACTTTCCCTCGTCTCCACATCGGCTGCCCCTCAGCCACAGACCCGTCATCATCAGGTACACCATTAAGCTTTGCAGTGTCAATTGGGAAAAGATATCATATTTAGAGATTTCGTTCATTCATAAGTAGCGTACGCGCTCTTGACGCGTTTCAAACAGAAGTCCTCCGGGACGCCAAACACGGACTATCCCATTCACTTCCAAAAGGAATCAAGAACTCTAGAGAACCATCTGGTGGAAAACTTAGCAATACTTCTCATCAGAATTTTTCACGATCGAGGGCTTACAAAAGAAGCGACGCCAGTTGGAATTTCTGCGAGAAGTCTCCTGGTTGAACCCAGCTTCTAATAAGCCCGAGTTGGAGAAATGCTCCGGCACATGCTTGGGCGAGTGTGAGGCAACAAGCAGCTCGTTTCCAGAGGCTTGCTCGTATTGTTCCGAGACGGGGGAACCGCAATATGATGAAGGTGCCGCGCTGTCTTTCCGCTTTCGTTGGGGTATTTGGTCTGGTTTCGTCTGTGGTGGTGGCTGTTGCTGCGCCTGTGGTTGTGGCTGCGATGCGAAGGCTAGCTCTGGAGAAGCTTGTTCTTCAGCGCTGGCTGCTATCCTTTCTATTTCGATAATGGGCACCGGATGCCGAGGTTGTGGGTGCATCAGTTCTTGGTCACAGTATTTGACGATGTGTGGTTGCTCCGGCATTGTTGACATGATTCCGGCTGACAGGCTTAGACGGTAGTAGTAAGAAGAAACACCAGAGCTGTTGATAATTTATCGCAGCAACTACACCCCTACTTAGTGCAAGCATGATGAGATCTGCGCTCGCGTTCTTAGCACACAATGTTGTTGAGGCGCTTTGTGAGTGTGGGGAATATCTTCCTTTGCTCACTCACCGCCTTTGTAGGTGTCGAAGACGATTTGAGGCCGGGGAACTCTTGCTTTTTACTTTTGGGACTGCACGAATACATCTGCGATTCGGACGTGAAACCAAGTCCTCCAGACCATCTTATCGTAGATCTCATCACTGTTGTCGTTCCACACCGCTACTATAGTCAAGGAATTGGAATATGTCATTATTCATTACGTCCAGCGTCAGCGCTAGGAGATGCTAGAGAAAACACTGGGTATACAACTCAATCGAACACCTCGCATCCTTCCACGGTCTTTCCATGGGCCGATCTCTTCGTCGGCGCTCAAATGCCACCCACAACTGCACCGATGACACTCAGACCCAGCAGCATCGACACCACCCAGCTCGCACCTCCACTGATCCTCACACCCGAACTAGCATATCCTCGCTCCTCATCGACCTTTCTCGCACCGACCGCCTTGTCCGTGTTGAAGCAGCCGAACATGCCCGTGCCACTTGCACCTTCTTTCTCGTATTCTTCCATCTTCTGTGCCAAGCAACTCTGGACGATGTCTGGTGAATCGGTGATGCAGTATTGAAAGCAGCCGTCGTTGTCTTCTGAGTTGACGATGACTGGGGTTGAGGACGCGGATGGTGATGATGTGGTCGAATCGGGGGCGGAGTATGTCGCGATAGCGTTGATGTGCCCGTTGCAGCATGCGTCTAGTATTGAAGAGTTCGAGCCACCGACAGGTACGGCGCACGACGGGAGGTTGGTGGGTGGTTGAGGGACCGAAGTAAATGGTTGGCATGACATTTTTGTGTTTTTACTGAGAGTTTGTCGTGTTGATGTGGATATTCGGAATTCCTGAAGAGGCTGTCGAGACGTCTTACGCGTTTAGTAGATGAGTCGATGGTGCAGTCGTAACTCGAGATGTCGTTGTTGGTGTTAGACACGACTTGCGCGCTACTCGAAATTCTCTCGCAAAGATCGAATGGAAAATGAGGAAAGATGATAGATGAGAGAATAACTCCGTCGCTATGCTGAGACTTGACTGAAGGGAAAAAGCAAGTTACGTTGCGAATGAAACACAGAGTTGTTCACAGAACAGACTCAAAAGAAAAGAATCGAATGGAAACCGACTGAAGGAAAGAAAGATGGTTGAAGCTGCTGAATACTGTACTGCCATTACAAGAGCAGAGCCTCATATGTAGATTCGTACATTCTAAGAATATCTCAGGTGGATACGCGGGTGGGTAGTCGGCAGCGCGAGACCTAGCGTTACGCGCCGACCCTTTCGGTTGCGCGACGCGTTGGTTGGCCCGCAACGTGCAATGGGATTACGCGCTAAAACCACGGGCAGATCCGAAACAACACGTTCTGTTGTGGTTGAAATGTTGTTATGCTGATTTTGGGTAGCCGTCATGCTCTGTTCTGTCCAATGGGTGTGTTGGGTTTGCTGTGTAGTGGATGTCACGTGCGTGGGATCGAACCATCTGGGTCGCTAACTTGCCGCTGCCTAGACGGCTGAAGGGCTGAGTAATGAGGAATGCATATCAGTGGCTGATGGGAAGATCGAAGGCGAGTAGACCAGGGCTCTCTGATTCGATTGTAATGTGGAGTTCGTCGGGTACAGGAATCCGTTCCACGTTCTTGCCCAGGTACAGAGTTTCGAAAAATCTATGCTTGCCCGGGCACACTGCGGCCATCATCAACTTATGAGATGTTGTACAGGCGATCCATAGTCGAGGCGTATGACAGCCAGATCCTTTGAACTTGGAGCATGAATTTGATGCGCCACCAACGCCCTCCCATGACAGAACAGACTGAGCCCCATGCAATGCGAGACAGCTGTTGCAAGCGGTATTAAGTTCAGCTGTTCTCGTCCTCATCTTCATGCGCGGCCGCCCAAGGGCTTCTCTTGCGCAATGATACGCCTCTTTTCTCAAGCACGAATGGTATCGGGGCTAGACAGATGGCGATTGCCATCAGGACCAGACTCGCGTTTCTGGTGCCTACGTTCAAGAACAAGTGTCTTCCGACCAGTGGGAACCCAGCACCAGCGAGATTTCGAATTAGTCCAATCCCGGCAAGGGCTGATGCTGAGTACGTTTTGTAGGCGTCTTCGGTGTAAGTAAGGGTCATAAGAACTAGATGGAGTGTTAGCGCCGTACGATTGACATTGATCATCTCTGTAACTTACTGAGAGTGTAGAATGACCATCCCCAGAACGCGCTGGCGAGAACTGCAAAGAAAGGGTGTATGTTTGGCGTTGCGGTAAGTGCGAAAGCCAAAAGAGACACTGGTAGCACAATAGCTGCCAGCTTCGCGTGATGCACTCGCGCCTCGGGGACGTCACGATAGCCGGCCTGAGCAACTTGTCTTTGGTAGTATCGTTCTTGTAAGACGTTCGTCGCTAGGCCAAATGTGATGCCGACGACAATCCCGAGGAAGCAGATACCGACGCCGATAGTATCAAAACCGTATCCGTTTGGGCCAAAGATCATGTGAAAGGCTCCGTTAAAGAGGAAGCTCAAGCCGTATAGAAACCCGTTGTAGAGTGCACCAAACTGCACGATAGCTTCAGAGCCCAAGAACCTGAATGGACGGGCGAGTGCTGTAGTGAACAGCTGCTTCGGTCCTCGTTGCTTCATTTCATCTGGCACCTCAATCCCCTCGTCTCCTGTTTGCTGTCGTAGGGCTCGTGCTCTCCGCAAGAGTATTACACTATGTCGCGTTTCTCCGAGGCTATAAAGCGCGACGACCATGACCACCCAGAAGGTCAAGCAGATGAAAAACATGATGCGGAACACAGTATGCCACGATCGACCATGCGCGATGAATGAAAAGAGCACAAAGCCAGTCGGGCTGCCGCCTGTCGCTGCCCAGAGAAACCAGGACATCGCTGGCCCGGTATCATGGTGATAAAAAAGATCCGCGATGGTGCCTCCGAAGTTCGAGATCGTCGTGGATGAGAAATAACCCGAGAACAGACGCAGGACAAGAAACGGCCCAAGGCTCTCTACATATGTCGTCCCCAAAAGGAGCAAGAGAAAGATACCGTAAGACACAATATAGACAGGTCTCCGTCCAAAGTATTCCGAAAGAGGAGCCAAAGTCATAGGACCAAAAGCCAACCCAAGAACATACATGCTCAGTCCCAGAACAGCGACGCTCGGTGACACGCCCATATCTTTGGCAAAGTCGCTAGCGACAGGACTAAAGCCACTCGCGCCCCAGGAGACACTGAGGTCTATGGGGACAATTGCGGCGACCATTAGCCATTTGCGCGCTTTCGACCAGTTCCGGGGGTCGTCTGGATCGTGGGGCTCGAAAGCTATGACCTTGGTTGGAGAGCTGTGCAGCAGAGGCTGGCTCTCTGGTTGAGAAGAGCTCATCACTGCGGAAAAAGGCCGCAAAAGCTGACAAGATCCCGGGGATTCCGATGTCTGGTGTTGATGCTTCGGAAGGCAGGTACACAAGGCGGATTCGGCTTCCCCAGATGATGACGTCACCGGTCATTCGTCCCGGATTAGCACCGAAACGCTAGAACGCGACGTTTTGGAGAAGTACAACACTTTCAATTCTTGCGGCTATGCGTCTCTAACATTACTTTTGCGCGAGTTTGTTACAACCTCGACTGACGGGAGCTTAACGGCATAATCTGACATAGGTAAACTACCCGGGGAGCTGCTCGATGTGTCCATCCAAAGCCCCACGCCGCCCGGGTGTGCTCATGGAATATGTTCCATAGTTCTTTTGATCGTAAAAGGCCATTGCCTTCCTTCTTCTACTTGTTCGCCAAGTTCCCAACTGACAAATACATCAAACTGTTGCAAGCCTTTAACTTCCTTCAACGGGGTGAACAAGGCATCCTCGTAGATATGATACGGTTTAGGACGCATCCTCCATGTCACCAGGTCGACCCTTATGTATCTTAGGGCCTCCATCTTTGATATCGCCTTCCAGGTACGAGTCCAGCATGACAGGTCGTATGGCGGTACACCTTTCGCCATCTCCCATAGCATGCTTAAGTCATGACTTCTCCACTTCAGGTGTAGCGATTGAATTGCTTGAAAGTGATGCGTGGGTACAAGACGATGGAGGCAGAAGAATGCTGTGCTGGTAGGGATATAGAAAGTGTTGGATGCGTAGAGATGCTGTATTGATTCGAAATACCTAGCGCAAGGAAGTAAGTCATGTTATGTACAACAAATAGACCTCAGGTAGGGGAAGAGACATACGCCATCTTACACGACCGTGGAAAGGCCATAAGCTGCTGGAACCTCACGCATCTCAAATCGAAGGACGGTACCGGGCTGTCGTGATATCTCCACAACTCGATCTCTTCCGGGGCAAGCTCCACTTCAAGTTCTTCGTTTCCGAGGGCGTATGGATAGATCATTGTCCGCAGCTCTGGAGGCAACTTCGTGAAAAATAAGCAATGTGGTTGAGTGGAGAACCCATCCGTTTCTGCACTCAATGCTGAGACTTCCATCGTGTCGGAGCGTATAGGTGGTAAAGACGCGTTCCAGTTCGCCCGACGCGTGTTCCGCCATTCCATACTTACTCGTCTTCGCTCTTGAAACCTCTTCGCATTGGCCCTGTGAATTCTAGGCTCGATCACTGCCTCGCAAATCTTGTTGAGCACACTCCAGGCCATCTCTTTGATCGATCGCATGACCACTACCACAGAGTCGATGAAGATGTGGTAAAGGGAGAAAAGGGCGATAACGATACTATGGAATCGACGTCCTGACCGTTCAATACTTATCATCAATACAAAGAGATTCACTCCAAAGTCGAGTGTGGTCCATAAGTGATACGGTAGACTGGTGCCTAGTCACCCTGGTGTGGCAAAGCCATTGCGGCACAGCATCATCCAGGCCGGGGTGTGGCTTATGCAAGGTGCCCCTCGGCTGAGACCGTGACACAACTAGCTCATTGCGGACCCAATAGAGCCCATGGCTGGATAGGCTCTGTTTGGTCGAGTGAAGTTTGACTTCATAGTGTAATTTGTTCGATGAAAAAAGACATCATTGCATGGGCAACCAGTCACTCACGCCTATTCCTCGCGTGATTTCGAAGGGCCATGTCTTTCCTCCACTCTCTCGTCGAAGGTTTCCATCTTCGCTCCAACTAGTGTATACCTCAAATCTTTTCAAACCTCTCAGAGTTTCCAGCGGAGTAAAGAGGACATGTTCATATGCAGCGTCCACATATGGCTGCCAGATCACCATGTCGACCTCCATATGCTCTAGTGCTCTCATTTTTGATATTTCCAACCACATTGAAGACCAACATGAAGCATTATACGGTGGATCGCCTTCAAGAAATTTGTGCATCTCGTGTGTCGAAAGATACGCCCATCTCAAATTCATGCAACGAATGCTTTGGAACCAACGCGGAGGAAGAATACGGTGAAGAGCGAAGAAGGCGGTAAGGCTGGGAATTCGAAAGGTGTTTTCGCTATAGACGTATTGCGCGGCTTCGACGTAGCTTTAGCATCTTCAGTCAGATACTGTATCATGGAGCAGTAACGTTATTCATGTGAGGAATTTACTTTACTCACGCAGTTTTGCACGACGCTGGGAACCCGAGCAGCTTCCTTGCTTGTACGCAACTCAGCGTAAATGGAATCTCGTCGTCGTTCTCCTCACACATCTGACGCTGAAGCTGTTTATCGTCCTGGCCATGGAGCTCAAGCCGGAGGACTTGGCCGCCCATGGCGTATGTGTAAATAAGCCTTCGTAGCTCGAGAGGCAGCTTCGCGAAGAACGGCGATTGTTGTTGGGTGAAGACGTCGGCGGTTGAACAAGAGTCAAAGATGTCCTTGGGATTTTGCCTTATCTCAGGAAGTCGTGCATTCCAAGCAGCGCAAGCTTCTGCTCGCAGTCTATCATGGTACTCTTTCCGCTTACGTGCGCTTTTCTTCAGCCCGCGGTCAATAGACGCAACAATTAATGTTTCGATAAGTTTGTCCTTGAGTGAGCGCATTAGTGTTGAAAGAGAGCGCATGACGGTATAGCCGGAATTGTTGTATTGATGCTTCTTTTGGGAGAGCTTGCGAAGTCGTCCTCAGCGATGCGTACCCAGCTGCGGCGTCGAAGGTAACGCCAACCGTAAGATTTCAGAAGAGAACGAGGTCGAAGTACGGAAGTGTCTGCACAGGGTGGCGCTGTCTCATGCTCTGCAATTGCCCATGCAAGGAGGGAACACCTGTGCTGAAGGTGGCACGGCATGCGGCGCGGCTTTGGCTAGCGAAAAAGACCAGGCAACAGTAGGGAGGCGCATACCCCCAATTCGTGCAGCCATCAAAACACCTGCATTATCAAAGGAAGGGAGAAAGCGGATAGCAAGAGTAGCTAGGTCTAAGGTATCGTACCTGGTAATCGAGGCACCAGATGCACCAGATGCACACGATGGCATGTGCCCGAGAGTCCATCAACCACTCAGGTGCACATTGGGGCAACTTTGAGGGGGATATCGTCCTAGGTATGCTCTGTACTATATCGGTCAATGAAAGCCTGCATGATTCAAGGATGCGGAGTTGCAAGAACACACGCGTGTAAGAGTATGATGACGGGTACGCGATGACAAGGAAGCGCGTTCCGTCATAGCTCGTCAGAAACAGAGCTAGTTGCCAGCACGGCACCACAGCGACGTCAACGACGTCTGCACACCCTCATTGCCAATACGAATTCCAAACTGCACCAACGGGCCATCCAGTGTGGCCTGTTTACTCATCGTGTCTTCGACAACAACATGTAGGCCGTCCCGTCCTCCAACAGACCCTGTCCTCGGTCGCTTTCACGCCGAAGGACCGAGTAGTGCGTCTTCCCCATAGCTCTCTCCTCCTTTACCCCGGATTACGGCCAGGATCATCGAGCTTAGCTTCAATTAATTTTCCCGTGTACCTGGATACGACTTGTATAAGAATGGGGAGCGAAGTACTACCAAGGGCAAGCAGTGCTCGCTGGCGCCTTCCATTCACAACATGCGCTCTACCACAGCGACCGCGGCGGCGCTCTTGTTGTCTTCGAAAGCATGGGCTTTTCTGAACGCGAGTCAGAACAACCAGAGTCTAACCATTGCCAACGATCGCCTGGTTGCGTCGGTGAGCAAGACACGAGGATACATCAACGTCCTTACGCTGGACGGGCAGAACCTCCTCGGGACGGAAGATGGCAATACTGGAGTCGGTCCATATCTCGACTGTTACTGCACTCCATCTGGCTTCTGGACACCAGGCCGGGGAAGCAATGTTCAGTACCAGCTGTTCAACGGCAGGGATTCCACTAATACTTCGTATGGGGGTATCAGCATGGGCGAGACATACGCTCCGACCGGTCAGAGGCTAGAGCAGTACTGGTTTCTGAGAGAAGGGGAAACAGGTCTGCATACCTTCAGCCGCGTGGTGTACAACAACAAGACTACTCCCTTTTTGCGCAACCTGCAAGAGTTTCGCACACTATTCAGGCCAAACCATGAACCCGCGCTCTTCACGCACTTCGTTACCAACGAGAAGTTTGCTGCACCCCGCCCAGATACCGAGGGACAAGTCACTGTTCAAGATGCTACATGGTGGCTGGCCAACAAGGAAGATCCGTACGTGACGGGCGTAGGAGACTACTTCACCAAGTACACTTTCCAAGACACATGGCGCGATCACAAGGCCCATGGTATGTACGCCGACGGTACTGGTAGCGCCAATGGTTCAACCTACGGCGCCTGGCTTGTACACAACACTGTCGAGACTTACTTCAACGGTCCCGTGCATTCTGACCTCGTCGTCGATGGCATCGTATACAACTACATGGTCTCCAACCACCATGGCGATCAAACGCCCAACATCACCGATGGCTTCGACCGTACCTTTGGGCCGCAGTACTTCCACTTCAACTCCGGTGGTTCACTTGAGGAGCTCCGAGAAGATGCCGACCAGTATGGTCTCCGTCCGGAATGGAACGCCGATTTCTACGATTCCATCGCAAAGCACGTTCCAAACCTCGTCCCCACCTCCGGTCGCGGTACCTTGAACGCAAAGATCAACCTGCCCACCGGAGTCAAGAACCCCATTGCCATTCTCACAGAGAGCGGCCATGATTTCCAAGACAACGTCTTCGACACGAAAGCATATCAATACTGGGAAGATATCTCTCCCACCGGCGAAGTCACCATTCCGCGAGTAAAAGCCGGCAACTACCGTCTCACAATCTACGCTGACGGTATCTTCGGTGACTACATCCAAGACGACGTTCCCGTCTCCACTGGAGAAGAAACTTCCATAACAGCGACATGGACCCCGGAGTCCGCCGGCACAGAACTCTTCCGCATCGGCACCCCCGACAAATCCTCAGGCGAGTACCGCCACGGCTACGCCCAGTCCCCCACGCAC